TGCATCCACTCCCCCAGCAGGCCACTGCATAGAAAAGGGCAGATGCTACCACAGTGTCATAGAATGTTTATCTCCTTAGACCTTCTCATTTCCCCGTGTCTTGTTATGGTTTATTGTCTCCCTTTGTGTCATGTCTCTCTCCCTTCCTCACATTTATCTGCCTTTCCCCCACTCCTTTGTGATATTCGACAGTTTCCTGTTTTATTTTGAAAGCTTTGTGTTCGGTGTAGTTCCCCTGTGGCGTCTTGTTAATTCGTATCAGCTGTGTTCCCCGTGTGTTCTCATTTCTTAGTAATCCTTCTGTGTATTTATGACAGTATGCATTTCCCTGTGTCCTTCCCAGTGTATTTAGTACTCCCGTTTGGGCCCTATCCTGCCTGCACACAGACGTTTCATGACATTCATAGCTTAGTAATCCAATTTTAGCCATCTTAAAATAATTGTAACTCAGTTGTCAACAAAAAAGAAGCACTAAGCAAGATCATAAAGTTTAATAGATTCATAAGCGGCAGTGCAAATACATAAATGCATTTTTTCTTCTGCATAAAATAAATATTGGTGCTCAGCAATGGTATTTTGGCCTTCACACAAAGGAGAACTGCCAGGACTCGAATGTCAATTTTCAGCCATTTTTAATGGAGTTTAATTCACTCAAGCATAAAATGTATTTTTGTATATTTAAGGGCCATTAAAAAGAAAAAAAAAAAACAAGTCTCTTCCCAAAAGCCCATTTTGAGGCGTGAAAGTTCTTGAATATATTCATTAGAAACAAGACGCACTAATAAAGTACCACCGAACAAGAAGCAGAATGTCATTAACAACTAGATGACTAATATTTACTTCTTAATTTACTCTGTCTTTTTACGATTAAAATGATCCCCCAAACTGAAATTTATGTTTATCCAGATGAGGATTTATGTAAGGATCACATTAGAGCTCCCACTGGACCCTCCTCATGTTACTGAGTCTGAAACATAATTGGGAACCACATCAAGAGGCTGGAAATGTTGGGGTGTAGTTGAGTTTAAGGCTGGATCCATCCATGCATAGCCCGTCCTATAGCTGCTCTAGGATGAGATGTGTGACACTGACATGAATATGTTAGACTATGTTAGACATGTAACATGTTGCACTCTTTGATTAGTATTTAAATACTATTGTGCAGCTGTTAAAGGTGCTTGTGGAATTTTAGGCAGTAAACTAATAAAAGAC